CTCAGAAATGACAACTATCAATACAATGGATTTGCACTATAGATGTACTGATACTGATACTAATGTCGGTGCAGATACTGGGTATTTGGGCGGGCACTTGTACTCGTCCAAATGTTCCGATACCTTCCCCAATACCGGAACTTCCAGTCAGAGGGAAATTTCCCTTTGACCGGCAGTGCCAAGGGAGCATACAGCCGACTTCCTTCCCAATCAGGAAGCCGGGTGGTGGGTTATGGCCCGCTTCCTGGTTGGCTAGGAAGCCCGTTTCACTTGTTGCTAGGCAACCTGCTCAGTCAGGAAGCCACGCTGTGTCACGCCTGTACGTACTGAGGTAGCGTGGATCTCAGCTGCGGAGGCTTCTCAGGGTTGGAATAGCATTTCTATATGCCTACTCAACTGTCTGTTGTACTGCAAATTAACCTATCTCCGAACCGTATGCCTAATCACCTGTATGCTTGGTAACCGATTATACTGCATCATAGCTATATGCCTGCCTAAATCTGTCTTCCGTGTCACAAGGGGATATCATATATCTGTGGCCTCAAGCTAGTTGCTAGTCTAACCCATAAAATAACCACCTGCTTCACCCTGAAGACCTACCTTAACGGTGAACGCAGGGTTCTTTGTGCTAAACGGGGTGTGATGTGAAGCAGCTCTCTCCAGGCCTTATCAAAATCTTGGGCATCGGAGGTAGAGCTGCGATCTGATACCCGTTCTAAAGCCATTTCCACAGCTGTGGTCCAAGGACCTTGTTCACCCCTGGGGGGTGGTATTACAGCAGCGTGTCATTACACGTCATTACACGCTGCCTGGCTTCCTGATTGGCCGGGAAGTCGGCTCCATGCTCTCTCATCACAAGTGACGAGAGAGCATGGAGCTGCTTCCCGGTCAATCGCGAAACCGGGCAGCATGTAATGACGCGCTGCCCGGCTTCCTGATACCGGAAGTACTCGTGCTAGGCATCGGAGCATTTGGGTGAGTACGAGTACTTTTACTTTACCCAAATACTCGGATTCGGCACCGATATCGATACTAGTATCGGTATCGGTGCATCCCTAGTTTTTACTTTCTGTTCCTCTGAGGTTGGAGATGAACAGCCAGTCCAGGGTTGCGAGACTCTCTGGGCCAGGAGAGGCCAGTAGTAAGTAAGTAAATACGTGTCACTGGAAAGGTATCAATGTGCAGCGTAAATCAGGGGCCACTAGGGACCCTCCAGGATGAGAAATTAGGCAGGACAGGTAGTGCAGGCTCACATAGTAGGAACGTTTTTAAATTTTCATACAGTTTGTTTGTTACTTGTATAATTATGGCAGGTAAAGTTTTTGTTCTGCAAAAAGCACTTTGTTGGGCTGTCTTTCCTAAAATCTTGAACTGTTTTTTCTTAGTATATAATACTGTAACAGTATCTGTGCCATGCATGTGTGTCGGGAACAACCATATACACCTAAATTATAAAGCTAGAGAAGGGTCATCTGACTACAGCATGTCAAATGCACACAAAGCCACAGCTCAAAACAAGTCACTCTAAAATGTGACTTGCTCATTCCAGATCAGGGTAATAGTAAGAATACTGTGCAAGGGAAACAAATAAGCAAACGATGGATATATGTCTATTGAATATTCACTGACTGAGTGATTCATTAAATGAATAGAACTTTTGCCACTCAAGAACAGATGTGGGTAAATGTTATTGTATCCTTTTTCTTTGTCTATCAAATGCTGAGTGAATCCCTATCAAAGGTTGGCAAAATCCATTGTAATAATTAGGGATGTACCGATAGCGTTTTTTGGGTATCAAGTCCGAGTACCGATCCTTTTTTTTCAGTACCCTCTGATACCGGGTACTGGTGACATGTGCCCAGATTATCAGGAAGTCGGGCAGCGGATCATGACCTGTCGCCCTGCTTCCTGATTGCCTGTTTAGCTGGTGTTCTAGCAAAAGAACACCGATTACACATGCTGAGTCTGCCTGGCTTCCTGACTAAGCAGGAAGCCGGGCGGCAGTCATGAGGTGCCGTTCGTCTTCTTGATTGGTTAGGAAGCAAGGCTGCCTAGCAACAGGTGAAGCTGGCTTCCTAGTCAATCAGGAACCTGGGCAGGATATCATGACCCACCTCCCGATTGGCTAGGAAGCCGGTGTCACTTGTTGCTAGGTAGCGTGGCTTCCTGACCAATCGGGAAGCCGGGACGCGAGGCATGACGTGCCGCCCGGGTTCCTGACAGGTTAGGAAGCCAGGCTGCTTACCAACAAGTGCAGCTGGCTTCCTAGACAATCAGGACGCCGGGCGTCACGTCATGACCCGTCTCCTGGCTTCCTGATTGGCTAGGAAGCTGACATCACTTGTTCATAGGCAGCCTGGCTTCCTGACCATTCAGGAAGCGGGGAGGTGGCTCATAACCCACCGCCCGGCTTCCTGATTGGAAAAGAACCCGGCTCAATGCTCCCTCGGCACTTGCTGACAGCGGGAGATCTCCCTCTGACCGGAAGTTCTGGTATTGGAGCATTTGGACGAGTTCTCGTATCGGTGTATCCCTAATAATAATAGAGTGAATGTGAGAAATCAAAACTTGGACAAATAATAGGCAAATGTCAGGAGAATTGCCCATCAAATCTCTAGCTATTAACCTCTTGCCGTCCGCCCGTAGTAGAAAAACGGACGGACGGCACTGCTGCATTGGCGGGTTGCCGTCGCCAGACGGCATTTTTTTTCTGCTCGCGCGCGCCCCCTGGCGGGCACGCACGGGCAGAAAAGACCCGTCCAATGCGAACACCCGGTACCGGGTGTTTTACACATATAGGCGATCAGCGGGTCCATAGCCCGCCAACTGGTTAAATCACTTACAATGAATGTTGTTTCTTAATGTTTCAAACGTATAGCTTCCTGCAGAATCAGTTGATCCCCTGAGCACTGAGCCTGATATCCTGTATTAGGGTGGCTCCTTGCAGGGTCCTATGGAGCCACATTGTGTGTGCTAGTAAGTTGTGTGTGTCTTCACAAGCACACAGGCACAGCAAGACAACCTGCTCCCTGTTCCTCACACCTCTACCCTCCCTTCTCCAAGCTAGTAGATGGACACCTGCTAGAGACTGCTCGGTACCATGTGATCTATTAGCAGACAGGGATTTCAGGGAAGCTGAGCTAAGAAAGCTGAAGCTGTTCAGAAACATGACTATGTTTGGGCAAAAATGTAAAGAAATACTTAGCTGTGCAATATTTGTTCTGGATGCATTATTATAAATATGTTTTAGAGTTTAATAATACTTTACATGCAGTAGTGACTAGGTGTGTGTGGGGCGGG